TAATGGTGCCATAAGCGAGTCGCTTCGAAATCGACTTCACATTACCCGCTACCAGTCCACCCTCTACACCATGCACTACAGAGACTATGCTTCTTACGTCAAGATGACTAGAGGTGATTCCCTTCTAATTAATGGGGCTAAACCCATCCATTGATTCACCAGATACCTCATTGTCGGATCTCTGAACTGTGGAGTACATTTAAACTTGATTTAAGGCAGTTGGGTCGAACTTCCCTCCTGCTTGTTTGTAAGGCATTCGAAGCCTACCCCATTTACTTCACATTACAAACACTATCCATGGTTTACGTTGTTTCTCCTCCTGACTTTATACTATTCACTTGTTACCATGCACCTATTCACTTCTGTTACACTCAAATTATATTTGCAACGTAGAAAGTCTAGGTGGGTTGAATATTGATTTTACACTGATTTTTTTTATTATTTCCTTCAAAAAAATATATATTTTAGGTATTTTTCAATCCATGACTTTTATTTTATTTTTTCTCAAATAGAATAATCTAAATAAAAAATTAAATTGTTTTTAAAAATAGTTTTAGTTTGTGATAGTGTTTTGGTTTGTTACAGTATTGTTAAAGTATTTTTGACCTATTATAGTATTATGATCATCACAATTTTGATCATCATAACAAAAACAATGTAAAATGTACTTGAAAATAATATAAATGACATAAAATAGATTTATAGTATTATGATATTAATTATAAGTTTAAAATTTGATATTATAATAATTTGTAAGTAATGATAATCAAAAGAAGCATGATATGATATCATTTATAATATTTTTTAATAATATTTATAATATTTTTTACTATATCAATAAAATACTATAAATATTATTAAAATTTTACAAATGAATCAAATAAAAATATTATAATAGTTAAAAATTGATAAAGACAAAAAATTGATGAAAAAAATGTTTGAAGGGTATTTTGGATTTTTTAAAATTAAAGAAATTATTTATTTTTAAAAAAAATTAAAATATAGATTTTTTTTAGGAGAATCATCATTCTTTCCTCCTAAAACATTTTGACTATAAATACTTGTAAGGGATGCTATTTCTCATTTTAGTTGCAATAATTTTTAAATGATTATTTTTTGACTAATACTTTCTTAAAAGTAGATTGCACTTTGAAAAAAGAAGTATAAATAAATAAATAAATTATATATAATGTATATATATACACTCACACCTAATGATAGACATGATTGTTCGGTACAACTTTAACAATAATGTGACATGTTCTCGGTCGCTAAATGTGTATAAGATGTTAATTTTTCTCTTATTTAAAACTTTGGCACCAAAAAAAAAGGATTAATGGGTGATTTGATAAAGCTATATATTTTTTATATTACAATATCTTACGTGGCAGCCGAGGAAATTCCTAGGTGGGTCCCGCCATGGGGCGAGTAGGAAATGGGTTCACTTGATTCATTTTATTATTACGTGATTTTATTTTATTTGTTACCATGGGCTGATGTCCAGGGAGAAGTTGGGCTTTTGCCCTCAATTCCACGATCTCATTTGGCAAGTTTGGAGCCGAAATAGAAATACTTGGGACCGAACAAGCAAGAGAAAGTGATGCAACAAATCGAAAGTTCACGCACATGACCACCCACCTGCCCCTTCTCGTTCTCCCGAATTCGGTCGATCCCTTCATTTCTTGTTCGCCGTCATCGTACCCCCAAATCACCACACTGCGGAGATCGCTAGGGTTTCTTCCTCTCGGCGTTGTTGCTTCGTGGATTTACCCATCTTAAGCCGCCGCTTCCTAGGATTTGGCCTCTTTCTCTCTCTTCTCTCTCTCTCTCTCTCCGACTTTTCCGCTTCGCTCCGAAATCTTGAAACCTCTCGTTGGAATTCCGCGTGTTATTTCAATGGATTATGGCGGTGGAGCTGCGTACCCTGGTAGCAATGCCATCGCAATCATCCCGGACGCCTCCGGCCCTCCCGATTCCTGGCCCCCGGGAGGAAACGACCAGCCAATGTGGGCGACCGACGAGGATTACCGTTCTTGGAGCGGAGACCCATCCGCCGACGCCGCCTCCAACTCCGCTTACGACGGGCGCCTGTCCCGGTCTCGGGCCGGTAGTGAGCAGCCCCCGGGCAAGAAAGGTCGGAACTCCCAAGCGGATGCCCAGGGTGGTAACAGGACTACCACTTCCAAGGCCATCGGGAAGATGTTCTTTAAGACGAAGCTTTGCTGCAAGTTCCGCGCCGGGACTTGCCCTTACATCACGAACTGCAATTTTGCTCATGGGATCGAGGAGCTCCGCAGGCCGCCGCCAAACTGGCAAGAAATTGTGGCGGCTCAAGAGGAGGGCTCCTCCGAGCCCAGAGAAGAACGTCGGATACCGACGATGAACTCATCGGTCGTGGCTGGGGAGTCCGAGAGATCTTATAAAGGACGGCGGTGTAAGAAGTTCTACACCGAAGAGGGCTGCCCGTATGGGGATAGTTGCACCTTCATCCATGATGAGCAATCCAAGGCTCGGGAGAGCGTGACGATCAGTCTGTCGCCCATGGTTGGAGGCAGCGGACTAGGGGGAGGTGCGAATGCGCCGACTCAGAAACCTTCAAATTGGAAGACGAGGACTTGTCACAAGTGGGAGATGACTGGGTATTGCCCCTTTGGCAACAAGTGCCACTTTGCTCATGGTGCAGCAGGTATGACAAGAATCTTGCTCCTAGTTTCCATCTTTAGTTGGAATAGCCCTGAGGTATTTCATGCCTGCTCAAGATCTTGCTAACCCATAACAAAAATAACGATAACATCTTTATAGGATTAGTTTTCTTCTTGAATTATACAAATTCCTTCATTTAATTCTGGCTCTAGTCCTTGTGGCCATATTTCGTGATGATCCATTGCGAAACAAAGGATCTTGCAGATGGTCCTCAGTAATCTGGTCTCAGAGTGTGTGCATTTGTTGTATGATCATTTATCTTGAATGAATCTTATGTCTGCGGTGCTTGTGTTGGTTTCTATCGCCCACAATAATTTACATCTGTTTGATTGTGATGTCTAATCTATATCTTATTTTTATTTGGTGATTATTAGTTCAGATGATTTGACTAGTGTTAAACATCTTGAATTGGAAATCTCTCAGATCTAAACCAGACAATTGTGCACAACAAAATCCTGTTCGAAAGCATTTTAAGTTTGACTATAGTCCATCTAGGGTGTTGACTGCGGCTTGAACTTAAAGAATTCATGAACATGGATACCATAAAGATGCTTTACTAGTATCTCCATTTTCTCCATTATGAATTGATGAGATTAAGCCAATTCTACTGTTTCTGTTTTCCAATCCAATGATACATTGAATTATCGCTTCCCTGACACTTATTTTTCTTTTTCTAGTACATGTGGGAATACTTTTGCGGTATTTATAACTTTCGAGATTTAGTCTGCATTATATTCTGCTTGTACATGAATAACTTTCAGCTACAGAACTACACAGGTATGGTGGGGGTCCTGTGGAAACAGAAGGTAGAGATGCCTCCTTGGTTGTTTCAGACTCTAAGCATGGTGGGGTGCACACAAAGTTCCTCCCATCGGATGCTTCCGTTGCTTCAAACAGTTCAGTTCCTCATGCTGATATGTATCATATCGGCGTCCCTTCTCAGAGGTCCGCTGGTGTCGTACAGAGGCAGGGGCAGAGGTCAGTTGGAAAATGGAAGGGGCCTGACAAAATTAGTAAGATATATGGTGACTGGATTGATGACATAGAGTAGAACCTTGTGCAATGCACCTGCAGACATAATAGTCACTTGTTTTCATTTTAGCTATTGGTTCACGATGAAGGTAATGTTTGTGTTTTGTGGAGTACCAAAGGCAAGAGAGGTTACTGATGCGAAGTAGGGTATCTTTTGGCATGATTATCTAAAACATGGGAAATCTGAAGATCATAGTAGAAGAAGCAAGTGAAATCACTTGATGCTTCTTGTGCTAGATTTTATGGAGACAATTGCTTCGACACAGCTTCTTGTTTTGCACCATTTACTGTTGCAAAAAATTCTGCTAACATGGCATGACATTTTTTTTAGTACAGAAAGACGGATCATTTGATTTCATGACGGGGGCAAGGTGCTTATACTCTTTCATTGGTTCTCTGTTTGCTGTGGTTGATCCAGAATAACTCAGTAAAGGATTTGAACTTGCCAGACATCAAAGGTATATGGCCGGCTGCAGGAATGCTTCTACACTGACATATATTGCCTCTTTTGTTTTGGCTGCAACTGAACTGTTTCAGTAATGTTTGTGTCAGTTTGTTTGTGAACTAAATTGAACTGTATTCCAGGGATTTTTTGTTTTGTTCCATTAGGATTTTGTTAATGTCATAGCTTTGCAGAAAAAAAATTTCTTTCCGTATCACAATTGGCGCATTACGTGAGCAGCTACTAAGCGGCATTATCAACATTTTGCAGATTAGAATTCTGTTACAAGAATGTTATTTGGCTTGTACCAAATATTACCTCATCATCATCTTTCAATAATTTTGCTTCTGACTTGAGCCTCTAACCACAGTATACTTTCATCCTTGTAATCTGGCACCCTGCACGGTGACACCGTTATGAACCACCTCGTAGTTGCAGGCATGAGGAGTAATGCGTTGGTATAGCCAGAAATCTTAATTGAAAGGAAAAAAGTAGTAGAATATAGTAAGAATTCTAAAAGTCCTATGTTAATTGATACTTGTAAGTGAGACAACTCTTTCCTAAGAATGTCTTGAAATACTGATTCCATCAATCAAAGATTTAGGTACATAGTCTACGTCTGAGAATATATTTATATTTTTATATAACATCGCATTGATCCCCTACTTTTGACGTGGGATGATTTTAATAGACCTTTAATCAGTTTGGGCCAAAGAATTGAAGTCCATCTTCTTTCCATTGGATGTTACTTAATGTTGGGCCTAAGCGATCCTATGTGGCCCATTAATCTACAATATTGTCTTGTTGTTAGGCCCATTTTTAAGGTAGATCATTCGCGGAACAGATTGCGATTGATTCACACCTTTGGAAGAATGCAGATGGAGAAGGGGGGAGCAACCTTGGAGGAGGGATTGGGCGGCGGAGGTGTGGTGACGCAAAGGGGAAAGCTGTGCCGCCGATGCAAGGAGACCTTCAACTCTTCCTCCAACACGCCCTCCTCCTGTCGGTTCCACCCTTCGTTCTTCGTCTGCCGCAGGCACGACGACCAAAAGAGGTATGTGGCGGTTCCCCTATCCGAACCCTCCTCCTCCTCCATAGACGGCAAGTATCTCCTTCTCTTCTGTAGCCTGGTTCTTGAAGCAGCATCCATCACCTCGATCCTGTTCTTGATGTTTGATATGGAGGCTTTATTAGGACACTAAAAATCTCTTGATGTGCATGCTTGTTTTCTGTAATCATAGATGCTGACGCCGCTCGGCCGGATAAAGACTTTGATCTCTCGTCTTTTCGCTTGAGTTGAGGTCTTTGATTTGTAATCTATGCCTTGTGCAAAAATGATCACTTTGACCACAATTTGTAATCGTGCCTAAGGCTATGAGGTAATAACTCAACAGATAAAATCTGGCCGCCTGGAGCGCAGCTTTCCTCCAGGTGAGTTAGATTCCTCTTCCAGTTAATGACCCTTGTGCGTCTCGGTATCTCTTACCGTGAATTAGCCATCGGGAACTGCCACCAATAAGTAAAAACCTTAATTCGCATAAATAGTTAATGTGCAATTTCTTAGAGTATATTGGAATTTAACTACATAGATGATTATGGGTCGTCATAAGTGAACCAGTCGAATGGTGATCCTGCGGTTTTTGTTTCTGAGCATAACGTGCAGTGCCCAATTTTATTTTCATAGATGTGGAGAATGAGTAACATATAGTGTATTTTTGACCTATGAATTTTTATTTTCATGATGATATTGTAGCTTGACATTTCAACAATCTCGTTATTGTATAATCACATAGTGCTCTGTGTTTTGTCTCTATTTGTTCCATGTGTTAATTAATGATACATCAGAATATTTTGGAATGAATTTTGACTAGAAGTTGTCTTTGAAATAATAAAAAGGAGAGAGAAACAATCACCATGTTTCTTGGACTATGATTCCTATTTTAATTCCTAGTTTCAAGCAGGAAGATTCATAAGATGATTGCTCCGGATGAATTGTATGTTCTGGACACTGGATAGCCCTTTACTTTCCACCATTTCCTGTTCTCTTGTTATAGTTGCATTAGGAGGTGTGTTCATTCTCAGCTAAGCTCAAAAAACAGCCATGGATGATGATCTAGGATTGAAGTTTGTCATGAGACCCGATTTTGTCATTCTAAAGATTTAGAGTTTTTCTACCGACTTAACTTAGTCGCTGGTTTCCATTGTCATTAGATCAGTTCTTTATGTTCGCCAATTGTTGAAATCTTTCTTAGTTGCAAGCATAAGAATTTACTTTTCTAAGACAAACATGGTCTTTCTTATTATGGTAGAGCAAGAAGCGAGTTTTAGTTTCTCTTTCTTTTCATTTGATATGCTTTACGATTTCTTCATAGTAGTTGTATCATTTATTTATATAGTGCAACAATAACAAAGTCATAAAGTTTTTATTATTTGGGATCGACTATATGGTTCTTTTGCCATAATTAAAATTTATAAAAAGTCATGTGTTTCGTTAAATTAAAAGCTTTAATCTTTATTTATAGATTCTATAAAATCTTTTTAAGTCTTCCTCTATCTCTCTTCATATCGTCGATAGTAATCATTTTAGCTCTCTTAATCACCACATCTAATTGATAATCACACGAGACTCCTATATCTCGTTATTTTATTCATCTCATTTTTATAATATCTTCATCGATCTCTCCATCTTGTTGAATAATGATCCAATATAACTAAAGATTGTGATTATATAATATCGAATAAAATAGGACACTAGGGGAATGCAGCCATAAACTCTTGCTTCTTTGGCTGTTCAAGTATCTAATTTCCTTTTTGAACCTTAGCCTCTTGATAATATGCTTTATGAATATGAGGCATGGGAGCTTTTTCTGCCCACTATATATTTCTTCTATAACCATCTGTGAATTTGGGAGACTAAGCAATGTTGTTGATGTGTGCATCATGGTATTAGGGGAGGAGTGTAAAGAATATTTGTTTGAAACTGAATCAACTCTGGCTTTAGTTGGCATGGAAATATTTGCAAGACAGTTTACACTAACTTTTTCTGTACTAGAAATTGCCTAAATAAGCACGATGTTACTTTGTGCTTGGCCCTTTGTTGCTCTTTATAAGTTGCAAAATGCTCATAACTATGCAGACAATTTTCCTTTCTTTTCCTACAAATTTCTGTTTGGACTTACAATATTCGAAGTGTTTGGTTTAGCCAACATGATGCTACCTTCGAGGCCTAAAAAAAATACCCATGATGTTTGCTGTTGCCGACTGGATAATGGTTATTCTGCTTCCTTTATAAGAATTAGATAATTGGATCGGTTCTTGTTCTTGATGTGCTTCCATATTTTGTCAGAACTGCATATTGAAAGGCGTTCTCATATTTTGTTGATCTGCTTTTCTGTTTACATATGCTTGAAGTTTTTTTTTTTATATTTAAAGTCAGCAAACACTTGATCCAAAATGAGCATCGCCATTGATCCATTGGTTTTATGGTTTTGAAGTATATTTTTTTGTGCCTTTCGTTCTTGTTGAAGGTACTACGAACTCCGTCCAGATGATCCACCATATGCTGCCAAATTCTACGACTGCTGCGGAGCAGAGGACCCAGAGGCATTGGGCTGCACCACCGATTTCCATGTTTCCTATGACGACTGATCTCTCTGCGAGCAATCTACCCTATGGCAAGTTTGATGGTATGCTATATCCTCGTCTATTAAAGGAAATGCAGTCACAATGTACAACCCTCCTCCTTGTGTTTCCTGTTTTGAACGTAATGGATCTTTTGAGAATTTAATTCTGCTGATGGTTGTGTATAGAGTGTCATTCTATTCTGCTCGCATAAATCCACAAATTTGTATTCCTCATGTTGCAGTTTGCCGAGCTTCCTTCTGTAAGATTTGGTGAACTCAGGTGCGCCAATGATTTCTGAGTCCACGTTATGGTGGTTTCCTGAGCAAAGATAGAAAGCTTCCTTTTAGCTACTTAACAATTTATAGAACTTGGGGATTTGGCGATGAAATTTGCTAATGTCGAACGCCTTTATTTGCTATCATTTGAATTTATTGGGATCCAAATCCACTCACGACGTTGTACGTATATTTCATGGCAGTCTGAGATGGGAAAGCGTTCTACACATCCACAAGAAGATTATCCAGAAATATCAACCATGTTGCAGCATGAGATGCACAACAGCGGCTCGGCGAACAGTGTCGCGCCTGCGCCCTTTATTCTAAAAGCTTCATCCGTCCCACGTATTCCGACCTCGGCGGTTGCATTTCTTTCGTATCGATTCCTGCACGAGGATCTTGAGCAGAGGCTTCTGACCGCGGGCCTTCCTTGGTGTAGACACTGCAGTGTCCATTAGCTCCATTCCACCGCGAGCAGGGAGCAGCTACTTCGCAGACATAACAGAAACACTGCACCCAGAAGACAGACTGGGAATGGTGGCCGTGAATTGAGATGGGGAAGCGTTGTAGTGTCGGTTCCAAGTGTACCTTGCTACAGTAGCTCTCATGAGCGGTGCAGTTGAAGGGGAAGTTTGCACAGAGATGCCTGGGATGCGGGAAATCCCTGAGTGCCACCTGTGGGGGCATCACCACAGCTTCAGAATCATCAAATCTCTGCATCTGTGATCTTCTTGTCTCGATCGATGATTCACAGAGAGAGAGAGAGAGAGAGAGAGAGAGAGAGAGAGAGAGAGCTTACTTACAGGTCCCTTCTCGGCAACAAGGATGACGTCGTCAGAAGGATCGCCGAGAGTAAGCTTGCCGAAGCAATCGGCGACGGGGTCGATCACATAGCAGTCATCGTCTTCGTCGTCAGCTCTGCTTTCCTCTTTCTCCACCGCCTTCGCCAAGTCAACCTTATCTTCTTCCATAGTCCTCGTTTGTTTTGTTCTTTCGACCTCGTCTTTAAATTCCCCAACCCATGTGTCTATAAATTTCCTATTAATTTAATTTTAGCATATGCATAAACATCTTTCCAAAACTAAAGAAAAACCCACATATATATATGTTATCATAATAAACTCCTTTGTTTATAATAACTACAAGTAAATTATTAGCTATAATTCTAATTTAGAACTCTTGAGCTATAAAAAGTATTTTATATTATATAAAAATAAATATTAATCATGATTAAAAGTGGTTGGCTTCAAACTTTCGAGATGGCTACTAAGAACTTGACATGCGTGGAACCGAACCAATATTGTTCAACTCGAAATCTCGATCGTATGATCTTAGATCATGCTTGGCGAGTTGGGTCAGATCCAATATTAATGTAAAAAGAGCAGAATCGACCCGACTCGCATGTCACTTTATCGAATTAATTCGGTTTACGAACACTCACATAGAAGACGAATCAACGTGACTCAGAGCGACGAGGAGACAATCTCGAGGCCTAACCTCGCGATGAGAGGAGGGTGCTATGAATGTCACCGGTTCTCTGTCGCACCCCACAAAAGCGACATCGCTTGACTTTTTGTAGTTGTCAGAGCAACGAGGAGCGCTGCAAACATCATCTATGATTGGCCTCCCATCTATCTCTCCTACATCTCTTTCCGTCACCTCTCCTTCTCTCTCCTATCCTCTATTTTTACTTCTTCCCTCTTTTCCTTCTCACCTAGAGTCCTAAGTCCTCGTTGAATCCCTCTTCTCCTCCTTTGCTGTATCTTTCAACTCTTCTCCTCCTATCTTTCCTAACATGGTGATGATGATCAAGAGAAAGAATAATATTCGTAGCGAGAAGCCTGCGAAGAAGGCCAAAGGGAGCCACTAATCAAAGGCTGTAAACCATAGCTCTGCCTATGGATAACAACTCTATCGAATTTTCATTAGTTCCTTATACAAATCTAAGTCTATCACTAATGGCTAGATCGAAGGTCATAAACTTGAGTCCAACGCTTGGTCTAAAGCTTCGAGAAGAGCTCTTCAATATAAAGATTCAAATGAAACAAGATGTCATTGGCATGATCTTCGACACCGTGTCACGGACTTAGCTGGTTTTGCTTAAGTCGTGCGACACCCTTGCGTATCCGTCCGCAATGGTTTGCCTCCCCGAAGCCTCTCATAGTCCCTTAGGACCTACGAAAGAGAAAACGGGTTAGAGAGAACGCCTCACTCGGGATCCACAAGCAAACATTCCAGGAAACACTTCATAGACAATGCAAATTATAAACAGACTTTACAAGCTCTGAACAGTTGCACAACAAAGGGTCAAAATGGTCCACTACAGACCGAAAATCTCTCACAAGTGTCCACATGACATAACCTTTATTTACAAACCTAAAGCGGCCACCAAACCCGACTAAAATGGGACTATTAAGCCCTCGATCGTCCCTCTATATGCTGTCCAAAGCATTAACATACCAAAAGACACGGACATACATAAGCATTACATCAAACATCCTGTTTGGAAGTTTGTCCATGACATTCTCCCCCACTTATTCCTTCGACGTCCTCGTCGAAGCCTTTTCCGACACTACAACTCCTCGTCTTTGCTGAGTCTACAATCTTCTGCTCTAGCTGCTACTGTGATTCACCTTATCAATGTCATCAAACTTCTGGAATGCAAGAAGTTTTCACCCCAACTTGGAGTAATTCTCTAATAGATTTGGTCGCCTCTGCCTGTTTCGTTCCTTGGTCGTGCACTCTCGCATGACCCGAAGTCCTTCACTTTCGGCTATCTTGATGAGAAGCTTGTTGACATCGGTCTTACGAAGTTCCTTGGCCTCTACCCTTCAGCCTTATATCGGTACTTGGAGTTTGCCTCTACATGCTCTACCTCTTCAGCCCCTTTCACGACCAAGCGCTCTCCCTCCATGAGAGCAAGGGATCAATAGCTTTCACGGAAGTCCTGCCTTTGCAGTACCATGGCGCTACCATGCCCAAGGCCCTACTATCCGCATCTGCATCCCTTTTCTTCATGATCAGTAGATATGTCTCTGTGGCACTCCTCCGAGTCCACCTCCATTCTAACTGATGCTTGATTTTGGGTAGCTAATTCCCTCTGGACTCGTCGTCGCTTTCTCGCCCCTTTCGACCCCTTGCTTCAACACCTCTGTGTTCTCCAAGCAGCTCCTTTTGGTCGATGGAAAGACAAACTATAACTCCCATACATGGCCTCTGCCATCACATTATAGTGTTTGCACTGATTTTGTTCTCCTTAGCTTCCTTGGTAGCAACGTTCGCTTACTCGACCTTGTCCTCTGACTTGCCGAGCTCCCTTAAGCGAATATGGGCTCTAGAGCAGTCCAACTCTCCAGCTGCTTCGATTATACCTCTGCATGATCAAGTCCCTCCCATGGGACTCACTGGTACTTGCATTTGAACTTTTCCCTTGGTGGAACACAACCCCCATATGCTGATGACCAAGGCTTTCATCCGATGCAAAATTCGATGCACGCACGGAAAACCCGCCTTTGCGGTATCATAGCCTTCACTCCTTGAATCCATAGGCCTTTTTATCGTCGTGTTGTTCACCGAAGTGAAGCTTCCAGTAGCTCTCGATCATACCTCCGTATGATCTAGTCCCTCACGGAACTATGTCGTGTGTATCGCATTGCCACAAAATGTTCCACCACGATCCGTTGCACCATGTCGCCTCCTGGTGACATCTCTATTGCATTCTGATCCTTGTGGGATGAACTCGAATTATGATCCCTCCATGTGTGGCCTCTGCCAATACATCGCAGGGTCACTTCCACCTTCGATTTTGTTCGCTCCTTTGACAATCGACCTTCATCCACCCACTCTTGGGTCACACTTAGATGAAGCACCACTCTAGGACAGTCCATCGCCTAGTAGCTCCCGAAGTCCACTGACTTCGCTGAAAATGGTGCACCATTGTCTGGATCCTGGGCCTCTACCCCTACCAGCACAATCTCCGCTGTGCACCACTTCCTGCCTAGCAACTTGACTGGCAACACTGTGGCATATTCTTCAAGAGTACCCGCCTCCGTGTCCTCTTGTCCCGTGCCAAGGCCTTCTGAACCCAACTTCGCCTTCGCAAGTTGAGTCGCCTTAGTTCCTCCATCAAATGCTTCTTCGAGGTAAGGTGCATGTGCTCAAAAGTTCCCTTCGTCTTTGGCACTATGCAAGATGAGTCTGCTCCGTCAGAATGAAGGACCCATGGAACAACAGATCCTGCTCTTGCCTTTGCAAGAGTTCATGTCCTTGACCTCTGTCTAAGGAAAGTACTGTGCCTCCGCTTCATGTTCCATCTTCTATGCTAGCTCTCTTCATGCAGCTTGGGTACTTCACCAAGTTACACCCAAGTTGTTCCACTCCTCTTTTTTTTTTTTCATTGAGTTAATGGTGGCCCTTGCGCCCACCATTCCACTGGTCAGCCCTCCCTTGAGTTCAATCTCCATATCGACTCCAAGTGTGCCTTCATTTGTGTTGCTTTGGGTCGCTCCCCCACTTGATCTCGTAATGCATCCACCAATGTATTCTTTCAAGCGGGATTATACGACGACTCCTCATCACTTACTCGGTCCATTGAGCTTCGTGGAGTTGCTATTTGTTGAGGTACTCCTCCTCAACATGTGCGGTCCGTCCCACATGATTCTCCCTCTGGAGAGCAGAGACTTATCCCTCCTGGATAACTATCTCATTAGAGCAACATCTCTCTTCATTTCGGAGACCATCATCCCTTTGGACTACTCCGATTTGTTGAACAAACTGTGCATTGTTCTACCTCTTGCAAATGCACTTGCTAGATTACGACTCCACGTCAATACAGCCCCCGTTGCACCACTCAGGCCTAGCAACATGCTGAACACCTGCACACTTCAGCCTCCAACGGATGTATCCTTCATATGCCAAAGAGAATGTTTCAATGCTCCATGGCACCGAGTTTCGATCGCCTTGGGATAGCCGCGAACATTCCATCGTCTGCATACAAGACCATGCATGAGTACCGAATTCTTCGAGTTAGCAATTCCCCTCACCTCTATGAGCTTTGCACAACTCTTTCGATCACTGAGCAACTACTTCCACATTGCATGGTCTCATCATTTACCAAGCGCCTCGCTTGCCTTGAGCACCATCAAGTATGGTTGTCAACATTGAACCGTAGCTTAAACTCAGCCATCCCAACCTTTGTGCGCTCCGTATTCTTCCAAGCTTGCTTGTTCTCGTGATGCCTCTCGCCCGAAGGATTGGCCATTTCTCTGAATGCCAATCTAAGATGCCCACTCCTTTGAGCGACTCCTTTTCTCTACATCTCCATGCCCATTTTTCCCACAAACGATCGTGCATGTGCTGACTGCCCTCAACGCAGCCCCGCTAGGTCCCCCACGTTTGCATGCCAAGTGTTTCTATGAGTGCTTGTCCCGCTCTGATACCATCTGTCACGGACTTAGCTGGTTTTGCCTAAGTCGTGTCGCACCCTTGCATGTTCGTCCGCAAAGGTCAGCCTCCCCGAAGCCTCCCATAGTCCCTTAGGACCTACGAAAGAGAAAACGAGTTAGAGAGAACGCCTCACTCGGGATCTACAAGCAAACATTCCAAGAAACACTTCATAGACAATGCAAATTACAAACAAACTTTACAAGCTCTGAACAGTTGCACAACAAAGGGTCAAAATGGTCCACTACAGACCGAAAATCTCTCACAAGTGTCCACATGACACAACCTTTATTTACAAGCCTAAAACAGCCACCAAACCCGACTAAAATAGGACTATTAAGCCTTCGGTAGTCCCTCTACATGCTGTGCAAAGCATGAACATACCAAAAGACACGGACACACATAAGTATTATATCAAACATCATGTTTAAAAATTTGTCCGTAACATACATAAGCTATGACTATGGATAACAACTCTATCGAATTTTCATTAGTTCCTTATACGGATCTAAGTCTATCATTAATGGCTAGATCGAAGGTCATAAACTTGAGTCCAACGCTTGGTCT